TGAGAATATTGTTGTGGCGCCAAGTATATCTCCCTTGGTCCAGTGAATGTTTGCAAAAATTAAGAATGTGATGGAGGGTCTCTCGGTTCCCACAGGAAGGGCATTTATCTGAAATCCTTTTCCCCCACCTGGCAAGGTTAACCCGAGTATTGAGGGCGTTGGAGAGAAATTTAAGAATGCCAAGTGGAAGATTGTAGCAGATATATTTCCAATGGGTGGATTGATCTTCAAGAAACACAAGTTCATAGAACCTTCCCTGGACCAAGAGAGTTTTGACGTGGTTATCCCAGGGAACAGTGAACTGTTCCCTGGTTATCCCAACATTTCTGAACTTCTGCCTTCAGTGTATTTTTTAATTTGGCTTTTACTTTGTGGAGGGGTAAATTATTGTGCTTGGCCAAGGCGTTTTTTTTTTTGTTAAACTTTCAAATTGGTTGGTAAGAGAGATCTTCTTCTTCCAGTTCCCTTCTCTTTCAACCCTGGAATCAAGACAATGGTTTACCATCGCACCAGACTTAATTATGGAAGAGAGATGTGCAATGAGGTGGCATTCTTTGTAGAGTTCAGAAATGTTGGGAATGTCAAATCCCTTGGGCATGTGAATGAAGGCCATAGTAGCACATCTGGGCATGCCAAACCGTGATTTGACGAACCTATTGGACAGGGCATCAAGCTTTTCAAGCTTGGTAGATGTGATATCATTCACTGTAAGATGGAATATTAATCTGGGCAGAAAATACTGCGAGTAAATGTTCAGCTTGAATTCCGACCTAATAAGGGAATCATATATTTTGTTGATGCCCTGTCTAATAAGATTACACAAGTAATCAAATACATCAGCATCGGCATTCCTAAATGTAATGATAGAACCTAGAAATGTGTGTGGTTCGACCTCAACCGATGGGATAGTATTATCCCCAAGGTTGTATTTAATATTGGTAGGCCTCCCGCGGCAAATCGAGAGTGAGCGGCACTTTTGTGGTGTGAGCTTTAGTCCCATGGATTTGCTATGAGCCAGAATTGTGTTTATTAATCTCTGGTGTGTTCTTTTATTTCTTGAAATGAGGCAGAAGTCATCTGCAAATGGTGTAGTGATAATGTTAGTGCCGTTTAACTCGTAGCCACAAGAGACCTCCAATTGGATGGATTGAATCAGTAGGTCGAAACACAGCAAAAACATAATGGGGGACAATGGATCTCCCTGGAAGATGCCTTTAGAAAATTGGAAAGGTTCAGAGGTCCAATCTTTTGTATTAATCTTGCGAGAGAGATTTGAGTAGAGGTTTTTAATGTAGTTTTTAAATAATAGAGGAATATGGCTGCGGTCAAGAGAGTGGTGGACAAGAGAATGAGGAACACTTCCAAAGGCATCCTCCAGGTCAAACTAGGTGATGTGGACGGTTTTGCATTTGGCTTTGGCATGCCTGATAATTTCATGAAGAACTGTGTTATGATCAACACATCCATTAATACCATGCAAAATTGCTTTCTGAATATTAGGATTGATAAGTGAATTTTCAACTATGAATTTTTCAAGTCTTTGAGCCAAGATTTGATGGGAAACCTTCCCTATACATGATGAGAGAGAAATTTCCTGGAATTTCGGTTTCGCCTTTTTTGTAAATAAGTTTAATATTGCTTTCAGTCCAAGAAGAGACAAGTGCTCCAGAGTGCAAAAGTTCGTTGTAGATGGTGGCTAATATATGGTGTGTGCATGGCAGTTTCTTCAGGAGGGCGTACGTTATCTGATCTGGGCCAGGCGCAGACTTGTTACTTTTCCTTTTCAAAATATTTTTAACATCTTTGGGTTTGATTGGTTCCATATTAAAAGACAGTTGATCGGGTTGTTTCCTATCTGCATTATACTGTTATATGCTTGATTTTAAATGTTTGATTTTAATTGTGTGTTTGAAGGGCAATAAAACAATTGTATTTAAATTTGGTATATTGACTATAGACCTAAGCATATATGGGAAATATATATGAATTCCTACAAGAAAAAATGTATTTCCAGCTGTAGAAATTAATAATAACTAAAATTATCACATAATCATAAAACTAATCGATGGATGTATTGAAAAAATCATAACCGCATATTTAGAAATGCATGTATGTATGCCAATTCTTGGCATTATTATTTATTATTACCATTATGTCTTTTAGTTTAAATCAGTGTACGATTGAAATATTCAAAAATGCACATTTTTTTTTGTAGTACAAATAACTACAAATGTTCTTGGCATATAGTTTCTCGTCAGGCAAATCTTCTTCGGTTGTAAAGAAATGACGTTCGGTGCCTTGTTCTTAACAGATTGTTTTCAGATGATATATTAAATACTTAATTCAATATGTCATTGATATGTTTATATTGATGCGCCAAAGATGTGTATAAGAGACAGCATGACCGCTCATGAAAATTTTTATTATTTTCATTTGTCTTTCCATTAAGCATCATTTTGTCCTTCATAATTTCTCTTAAACAGACTCAAACCTAATGAAGCTTACAGATATTTGTACACGTTTCCAATAGTGACGAGTTTCCTTCTAATTTGTTACTCCTTTGTGAAATTTACTTTTACATTTTGCTTGCATTAAAACATTTGTTCCAATATTAGTCACGTAATACTCCTGTTTATATGTTTAAGAAGGCATTGCCAGATAATTTGTCTCAAACTTTTACTTGTTTGACAATGACCTAATGAATAATATTGACAGCGGTCTCTTCTAGATCAACAGAGACATCGTCGTACTAGTACTGTCAAGTTTTCACGATTTTGGTACTTTCTCGTCAGATAAGTCTTAGGTTGTACTCAATTGAACCACAGTCTCTTCGGTACTTAAAATACACTTAATTTTGTTTCATAATGTCTGTTAAACAAACTTATGCCAAATGAAGCGTATATTTATTCATACACGTTTCTATGTTGGTAACTAGTTCTTTTGCTAGTTTTATACTCCTTATAGTATAGGCCTAATTAGTTTTTACATTTGTAGTTACTTTTCTTTCAATTGATTGATTCATTTGTTTCAAATTGTGCATGTCACGTATACTCCTGTTTACATAATATTTAAGGAGACATTGACAGATAATTTGTCTCAAATTCCACTTGTTTGCCAATGACCTATGACCTAATGTATATATTGACGACGGGCTCCTCTAGACCCACATTCATTGCTGTAAAGTGTCCAAGTTGTTGATACTTTCTAGTCAGACAAGTCTTCGGTTGTACTATGGAACAGTCATTGACCCACAGCCTTCTCGGTATTAAGCAGATTTTTTTTCAGATGGTATTTAAAAATACATTTAATTTGTCTTTAATAATTTCTCTTAAACAGACCTAGGCCTAATGAAGCGTATATTCATACACATTTCTAAGTCAGTGACCAGCTTCCTTGCTATTATTTTATTCCTTTGTGAAATTCATTTTTACATTTGCTTGCTTTTGAACATTTTTTCCAACATGTTCACGTATAGTACAGCATGTCACGTAAAATTTATATGTAATATGTTTATAATGTTTAAGAAGACATTGCCGGAAAATTGCCTCAAAATCTACTTATATGCCGGTGTTTACAGTGTTTCCTCTAGATCTACCAAGAAATCGTTGTGCCATTCGTACCGTTTTGCATAGTTCAATATGTTGGTACAAGTCTTCGGCTGCACAAAATTAAACCACATTCCCTTCGGTAATTAAACAGGTTATTTTCAGCTGGTACGGTATGTTAAATACACTTAATTTGCCATTCGTAATTTTTTGGACTAGGCCTAGTGAAGCGTATATTATATTCATACACGTTTTTATGTTAGTAACTAGTTTCTTTACTAATTTTATAAACCTTATAGTATAATTTACTTTAACATTTGTTGTTTTCTTTGAAGTGATTGATTCATTTGTTCCAAAACTGTGTACACGCGCTATGTCACGTATACTCATTTTTATATATTTAAGAAGACATTGACAGATAATTCGTCCCTAAATGTACTTGTTTGTCAATGACCTAATGAATAATATTGACGGCGGTCTCCTCTATAGATCCACATAGACATCATCGTAAAGTGTTCAAGTGTTCTTGGCATATAGTTTCTCGTCAGGCAAATCTTCTTCGGTTGTAAAGAAATGACGTTCGGTGCCTTGTTCTTAACAGATTGTTTTCAGATGATATATTAAATACTTAATTCAATATGTCATTGATATGTTTATATTGATGCGCCAATGTAAAATGCTGCAAATATTATTTTGTAACTCAAACGATCTATCTGTCTAGAGGAAGGTTAGTTGGATGATATCAAGTTCGTATACTTTATTAACTATATTACTTGTAATTAACCCTATCTCAAAAAGCAAAAAAAAAACAAAAAAGAAAAAAAAAACGTTAGCCCTGAAGGTTAAGCATACTCTCGCTACTTTTTATCGATAAATAAAGGTAAATGTAAAGGTAAGAGAAACACATAAGTCGCAATACGACTGTACTGATTTGAGTGTGACTGTGTTCCGTAACTACTGTAGCTAAATTGGAAGGCGCATAGTAGCTTTGTGTTGACATTATTTTTTCCACATAGAGGATCTAAAATAAACTAAAATATTGGGATAATTTGCCTGACCTTCCGAAGACATCGCCTTCATGACCTCTCCGATGGATTCTGGGCTTCCCCTGGCGAGGCCTACGTTTGCTCTTATTTGAAAAATCGACCTTCCCGTCGGGGAAATCCCCTCCCCCCGTCGGGATATCGGACACCCTTCATACAAGTTCTGGCACAAAGACTGGATAGAACGACAATGCCTACGTTTTTAACAAAAAAAAAGTTCTCGTAATCTTGAAAGCTCCGATGAGGGCAGTATATCAGCAGGGTATCCTAGAGCTCCTCATCGGAGCTAAAAATATCTTGATGTCGGCCACTGCAGCCTATGGCATCTTGCAATGTCATATTATTGTCAGACGTTTTATTGTACTTAATGCTCAGTACGTTCCCAAATTCTTGCGAAAAAAAATCTCCCCAGTAATTCGAGTGGGAATTGAACCCACGACCTCCAGATACCTAACCTGGCGTCTTAACCACTAGACCACTGAACTTGCGGTTGGTGGCTAGTGATGAATTCGATCCCCGAGTAGCAGCGAGTACTGCAATGCTATTCCAATGGCACCAGACTAGTTATCGTCGTTGGTCCAATTCCCACCCGAATCACTTAAGCATTCAGTACGATAACACGTCAGGTAGGTAAAACATCATGTCGTATTGTCAGTATAGGTACAGTATCATTATCATCGTTATCATCTTCATCATCATTATTACCATCATCGTCATTATCATTGGGCCTATTTTTTTAAAATTAAAATGTCAAAAAAAAAACATTACTGTTTTAATTGCTTGGAAACCTTGAACATTTGAAGCAAACATTCTGGTCCAGTAGGGACGGCTGACACTGCTGGAGTCATTATCATTCAATAATTGAGATTTTCCCCAATTTACTTACTTATGAGATATGGCAGAGAAATCTAAGCACTTAAATACATTGACATTTGCAGAAAGTGTTACGCGAAATTACGCATGTAAATGCAAGAAATTGAAGACAATCGTTTAATTAACGTTTTTTCTCATAATCATAGGCCACACACATTGGGGATATTTGGCACTGTAGTTGCTTTGTCGGTCTTAGGGTCCTGTGTCCAAACTCGAAAATATGACGTTTTACCGGGTTGTTCGTCGTGGGTAGTTTTTGTGCCTACAGCCCCATAGGGAGGGGTATAGACACGAAAACTGAACAAAAGGTTACAAAAATGTGATGCCCATGCCTAGATAAGACCTGTCCTACAAACAACCAAAAAATAAGTCAAACAACTTGATACCTATACAGTACAGTTATTCAAGTGAATTGCCAACACAGAAAGCGTGGATGGGTTATAAGTAGCCACAAACAACTTAAGCAATTCCAAGCTAAGACAAACGGCCCCCCTTGGAGCCTATTTCACCATTTTGAAGACCTATTAAGGTACCTAGATGGATCTGTTCACCATATTAAAGACTAATTAAAGGATACTGTTTTATTAATACTATTTCCGTCACGACTGGTCATGAATTTAATTTCATACCTCATAAGGAGACTTATTGTTTTGAGTAAACATATAATATTAAGGTATTCCATCTTGCAAGCATAACTGTCGAATGTTGCTCTTTCATTTTGGTGTGAAGGAATTTAACAATATTTATATATTATTATTATTATTATTATTATTATATTATTTCCTCCACCAGCTGGCAGCAATTAACATGTGCATTAAATACTAACATTTCTACTAGTATTTCGATTAGTATTAATATTGTTATCGATACGATACATTTTTACACATATTACATTTCACATGATAATAATTGTTGTACGTGGTAACTTGAATCAAGTATTAGAGAGGCTGTTTGACTATTAAGTGTGTACATTCTAACGGTTAGCGAACGTGTTCTTAAATCTATTTGATGGTGCTACGCGCTGCCTACTATTTAATCAAAGTATTTTTTACTTTTCTGTACTTTTATTCCGTCCTAAAGTATTACGCTGTTTTGCGACAAGAATTTTTACATAGACTAGTACCTGCTTTGCTGTACCAAATTGTGCAATTTTAATACCTGTCGTATGGCATCGCGTTTTTCTAGTGTTTGCTAATGACGCATCGCGTTTTAATGTCTGTTTACGACACATCATTTTTTCTATTGTCTACACTGTATCGCGTTTTTATTGCTTTTTGTAGAACATTTTGAATGACTGTTAGTTTTTATAATATTATTTTATGACTACTAAGATATAAAATAGGTAATATAATACATGCCACGTTGTGTTATGAGCTTTGTTTTTGGCAGTATGACATTTTGTAATTTATGTTTCATGGCATCACCTATTCCAATTCCGTTGTGGCTATGTTATTTCGTTTCATGTTTAATAGTATATTTAATACTGTATCGGCTTTGGCATCTTTTTAAATGTTGTGTTGCGTTTGCGAGTGCCCCCTACCTCATATGGTTTCGATTTCTGCAATTTAAGTAGGCTCCCCGATTTTTGTGAGGTTAGAGTTTGCGATTTAACCGAGATGTGGTGTCACATGTTGTATTTTAGGACTATACTGTATATTAGTGACCGTAAGAATGTACCGTATTTATTTTATACACAATACGTTCCCGTCTCGTTGCCTTTATGACAGATTTTTTTTTTTAAATCTTAACTGGTAACGTTGCTTGAATCAGCTTACAGTGCACATGTGCTATTATGTATTAAAGTTCTCCAACGCTGTATTCATGACGTGAAACGGACCGATTTGGGGCTCATGAAAATGTAGAAAAGTCAGTTAACTTACATACAATCTCTTACGTCATACACTGCGTTTAGAAATGTCCTTATATTCATTTAGTGGCCGAGGTGTTGCGTTCCATTAAAGGTTGTCGCATTAATGCCTTTTATTTGACCGATAAACAGATCTCTGTGTGATTTTTTTAATAAAGAGTGTCGCTAATATTGTATAGTTAAATAAATCAACCATTAGATGTTAACGAGTGAATAAAGGCGTTAAAACAGAGTTCAGACCGATCGTATGCCATTGCGGCACCGCGTGACATGGAAAGACAAATGTTCGGATGTCTTTTCTGTTAGAATGCATTCGTGAGTCGGTTCTGAATAAAGTCGAATAATCTCGCTAGCGGGTAGGTTTAGAGCAGGTGTGTGAATAAAGAATAGTTACAGTCAAAATCATTGGCTTAACATGTCTCGAAGATGAGTTCATTGGAATGAATGTAGGACTATGTCTGTATATCCTTGTCTATAGTACTTATGAAGAGAATGATTTAACATTGGATTCCATGTATAATACAGATAGCAATATTTTACATAAAAAATATTTCTGTTACAGAATACGGAATACATTGTTTATTGTTCTATGTCTAAACACCTTAAGGTTTTAATTAATGTCCCACCAAAGGTGGGACGATACTGCGTGTAACTTCATGTTTAAAGATGTCTGTCCCCTGAAAATAATAATTAAAATAAATCATTAAAAAAAATAATTTTTAAATGACTAGAGTGGAGTAAAATACAAATTATGAGCATTAAAATTGTAGAATTTAAAAAATGATTTTTATAATGGATAGTGATAAGAATAATAAAAAAACTTCCAATGACAATTATTTTTATTATTTTTTATTGTAAAATTGTGGTTAAACATGTTTTTTAATACACTAGTAATTTCTATGTTAAAGTTGATAATGTTATCAAAAATGAGATAGTTAATTAAAAAAATATATATATATTTTTTTTTTATGGAACAATACATTTTAAACATTCATCCTTTTTACTACCGTATAGTATGAACTAAATTATATACTATGCTTGTAGGTATGTCTAAGTTTTACTTGATTCTAAGACTAATTTTAAAGCATCTTTTGCTTTGTTTGTTACCAGCAAATATTAATCAATTAAAAAAGCATACGGCATATAACTTAAAAACAACGGTTTATTTGTATTTTAATGAATATTTTGCCATACGATTGTTTAAAAAACATATTATACCAAGTTCAACGGGCCGTATAAACGGGACCTTGTAATACGAATAGCTTATTTCACTTTAAAATATAGTTTTCTAGTAGATAATATATATCAAAATTATTCATAATGTATTCTGATATAAATATAATATATTTATTATCACAAAATTCTATCCGGAAATATCACTCGAATAATGATCCGTCTACCGTTTAGATTGACGACGAGGGTTTTTCGGTACCTCATTAATAGCAATATTTTTTAATGCAGCTAGTGTATTCTTTGTCCTCTTTTTTATATTTCTTCTATCTTCTATGAGCTCTGGTAAGACATTAAATAAAACGCCTGTTAAATTTATTCACATTATCGTAATATACAAAGCAACATAACTACAAACAAATGACTAATATTAGGTCTACTACTTCGAGCCAGTTTATCAATAGTAAATAGTGTAGTAATTAATACTGATATTATATAGTAAACGTCTTTTGATTCGCCGAATATAACTACTTTCAACTAAATTTTGCCACAGGCATAATCAATCATAAGTCTATAATGTTTACAACAACGTAGAAGAATCACGAATAATCGACTGTTCCGCAAAGCCTCGCCCCTTGTATTGGATATTGTTGCTAAAAAGTCTCGCAAATTGTGTCGCACTTTGTAATAACTGTCGCACTTTTGTGTCGCACTTTGTAATAACTCGATCCATGTTATCATCTATAGATTTTTATAAATTCTCATTTTTCTCGGGGATCGAATTTTGATTTTTCAACCTGTTTCGAATTGTATCATCTTTACATCGATGGAATGGCTCCAACCCCAATAGACCCCGCCCAGAATATGTGGGATTTTAGGGTGTCAAGTCAAAAACCAGAAGGGGTCCAAGTTAATATTTCTCGGATTATATTTATATGTGACAAATTAGAAACATATACTTTATTGACAAATACATAATCATAGGTTCCAAAAGAAGAGATTGCTTGTCAGCTGAAACTATACACAATTTCACAGTTACATAGGAAACACAAAAGCACTTGAAAATAATACCATAAAACGGATACTCGACTGTTGTTTACCCAGGCGGCTTCTGGTGCTATAAGGTACTGCCACCCGCATTTTGGTAATTCAGAATGGACTGGAAGCTATCAAGTACTGCCAACCATACACCTGAAAACAGGTAAACTTATACAATTTAACAGTAAATAAGTAATATATTGAAAAAATTAATTATTAAATAATACCAATCTAATATGTTTCAAATATCATCATTTTAATATTTCTCGTTAATGTTGGAAGAGATGTTATTTTACTTGGTTGTAGGGCGGTTAGTAGTTTGTTCCAATAATGTGGACCTTCGATAAATAGTGGTCTTTTACTTATGTCAAATCTATCGGGTGGGATGTACATCTTTTTAGCATTTCGTAATGTTTTTGCACGATCGGATTTTGTTTTTGAATCAATCAATTTTTCAATTGGGGATGGTAATTTTATGTCCGACGATGGGGATATGGCTTTAAGTCTACTAGCTATAAGGCCCCAGTCGGTCAGATC